CGTGTTCTGCTACTGTCATAACAGGAAAGGAGAGAAAGCAATAGATCATTGTTGCCAGGGATGATCTCAATTGTTGATCTCAACTCAACCACCACTTCAACCTGGCTGATCTTGTTGTCACCTTCTTAAAGAGAAAAAAAGTCACTTTACTGTCAATAAAAAAAATTGGAATGGTTGTACAATTTTCCAATGTCTTCTCTGCATTTGTACAACACCTCTGTTGTGCCAGGTAAATTCATCACCCTCCTCTGGTCATGGAAGAACAGAGCAAAGTCTAAACTTTCATGGATCCTTTTTGTGATAAGCGTGTATTTTTAGAGCTTCATTGAGAATCACATCATGTTATGGACACAAGCCAGAAGACTCATTTTTATTAAATTGATTGATTAGTTTATTAATTTCAGAATGATCCTAGATACAAACATAGTTACAGTGTTTATCTGTTTAACTCTATTTCTACTGGTTTTCTAATCAGACCTTTCAGTGCCACCATGCACATACAAAAGGGGAGTTTAGCATCCTTGTGATCAGTTCTTTGTAGGTTTTTGAGTTGTTTTGGTTTATGATAGATTGATTTTGAGATTGCGAGATTGATTGTGATTTTGATTGTTGATTGCGGTTTATGGTCAATTGCTTTCAAGAATAAAGATTCATGTAAACAGTCAACTTTCATTTGTTCTTCTTTAACCTGGATCCATAAAATAGCCCCCAAACACTTTGTTAACCGCATCCTGGAGTGGCACCCCTAGGAGTCTTAGGAATTAGATTTGTTTTGGTCGTTGTAAGCACTACACATCAGCAGTGGCAGTTGACTTTTTCCTTGGAATCACTTAAGGTTCAAGGTTCAAGCTTCTTAACAATTAAGTAAAATATCACTCCACCATTCTTTTAATGTGTGCAACTGTTAGAGTAACTCACTACAAACAGCAGAAACAACAACAAAAATCAGTATTGATGACATGTTATTTCTTAACTGAATAAATACATTCTGATTGAAAATGTCCCTTTAAATCACAAATTGTCACAAAGAACCCAAGAATCAAAAGGAGCTGCTTCTACAGAGAACTTTTACATCAAAGGCAATCTCATCATGATTCACTAATTCTACAACTCCTTTCATCTAACCCCTTTTTTCTCACATAACAATATACATTTCACATAACGAACATCCTTGTTGGCTATGTTGGCACCCACCTTCTGCATTTGTTATGCAAGATCTCATTGTTCAGTACTGTTACCATTTCAGTTAGACTGTTGTTATTGTGATCTTTGACATATTGATGTTTTAAAGATTTACTCTGAGGCTCAATACCATTGTTGGTGATGATATTGACCATAAACCTGCCTTGTCTGAATGCCCAAATTCATTGTTAAATGGCAAAGATCACATATTGGTATATCTGATTACTATGTTACGCCAATTAATTGAAGCACTTCCTTTAACCTTGTATAAAAAATTAAAAATGAAATAGTTTAAAGTTCCCTGTTTAAGAAATATATGCAAAGTAATAATGTTTTAAACCAGAAAAAATGGTCAGAACCGAGGAATTAGGAGTTATGACTTTTCTCTTCCTTCCCTTTTCTTAGCTGATACATTTTATTTTTAAGTTCTTCAATAAACCAGTGATGTCAAACCATGTGTCTATAGGCAGTGCTAAGCCATGTAAACAGAGTGAAATAATCATTACCTTTGCTTCTACCAGACATGCTTTATCAAACAGTTCCTGAGCTTTGGATTTGCCATCCAGAGACTATTGTCCTGTAGGGAAGCAACACTTTTCTGAAATTAATCCTTTGATGTTGATTTGGCAACAGCACAAAGGAAAGTCAAAACCTCCATTTTCATTCTACCTCAGCCACCTCTCCCATCAGTGATGCTGACAGAGAAAGTCACAGACATGTGGGGTCCATTTGTAGTACACTGGATTTGTGAAAGCATACAAGGGTGCAACTCATTTAGACTTGTGTTAGTTGTTTAGTGTATTTATAAGAAGTGCAAAAATAACGTATCTATAATGCAAATCTACAGCACCACACAGGTGCATTGATTAACCAACCTCCAAATGACTGATTTTGTTTTCTCAATAAAGTACATTTTCAATCTTTGTTACTAATTCCCTACCTGTGAATGTCATATTATCAGGGCTTCCTAACAGCACTATAATCATGGAAGATTGCTAACAGTTCTCGTATTGCAGATGTTGTTTCACTTTAAATGATGAAAGAGCCCACCCCTATACAGTTGATTGGTTTTATCAGCCAGAAAGAATAGCAGCAAGTTAAATCTTAAGGTCTTGTAAATGGCATCAAGAAGTGTAATCTCATTTCCAAATTTATTAGACAGCTACTTCTGCCATTTTGTTTGATGTGCAAACAACAGTTTCAGCTTTTGTTGTTTCATTGTTCCTCCTTGAACAGTAGAACTTGTTGTTGATGATGATAGAGCACATGGTCTAAAATAAAACTTGAGGATGCTCCTAATTTTGAGGCTGTGTTTTCTTTTTCAGGTTTTCCTGATCAACTTTGGACCACATCTTTATTGGTGCCTGGGATATGTGGGTCTCTCAGCTAGAAGTGCCTATTTGTTAGTAGTGGTGGTGAAGTTTGGCCTGCAAATATATCCCTTTTGACAAACTGCTTATGGTGTCTTTTCATCTGTTGTATTCTGTCAATAAGCTGTTTGTCAATAGGCTGGAGAACACCACCAAGATAAATGTTTGATACAAGAGAGATTTATTGCAAATCACACTACAATCAGCATCAAAATGAGTTGAAACATATTTGAACAGTACTATTTATGTGTAGAATAACACTCATGTCTCTACCATACTCCAAATCATTGACAAGACCCCCATTCCATTATTCAATGTTGCCTGTATGTAGCTGAAGGTTCATAGAAACACTATACAACATTGTTTTGGGGAGTAGGGGGTGAATAGGTCAACTTACAAGGGCAACAGAAATAAAATTGAAGGAACAGGGGGTTAGAAAGTTAATATGTCAACAATTTTGTCACAAATAGTGGATTTGCTCAAAACAAAGCATTATAGGTTGAAACCCAATTCAGATCCCCACAACTAGCTTTTGCTTGATGTTTGTATTATTTACATTTAACCTATGTAACTACAGGCTGTAGTGGCACGAAACTGTGAGCAGGGACTATAACTAGTGGTTGTGACTTGTGAAGGTCTGTTGCCAGCCATCATTACAAAAGCCACGAGTGTTAGAAATAAAATTTACAAATATATTAATTAAAAAGAACAAACCTCTTCAAGGATATGATCTTTGTGTTCCTCTTGATTTGGCAAGTGATTGTAAATTTGACATTCAAAGTCTGGTTTCTCTCCACTGTTGATGTGGACCTTTAATTTTAATGAGTCTCTCATGAGTTGCTCAGTGTCATCCCTCATCTACACAGTAAAAAAAGGTTAATAGATCAATTAGTTTACAACCTAACTGAAAACAGAAATGCTCGGTTTTTTACAATTACAGTTAACCAGAAGGAAAATGTAAGAAAAATTGTCCTGACTGTAAGACCAAAATATCTGTGTTATGAAGTTGAGCAGATTTTTTTCTTTTAGCACAATTTGAATAGCATTTTGTGCTCATTAGTGAGTGTTTTGGTATGTCTCTTAAAAGTTAAGTTATTTGAATAACAGGATATGTGTCTAGTAATTGAGTATTCGTCCTTCAAGTCTATGAACACCTCTGCATGGGCAGTTAATTCTTAAGTTGCCATTCTCCAAAATTTAAATGCATGCTACATACGCGTCACTGAGGTGGCTCTGAAAAAACCTTGGGTCCGGCTGCATATAACACTCTCTTTCCTATCGCATCGACAATCTGCCAGGTCTGCTATTCAGGTCTGTCAGCTGTTTCGTTCGATCGTTGAATTTCTCGGTAACAGAACTTTAAAAGATCTCGTGCACTTTTTCTCCTCTAAACTAAACTATGGTGTGGATTTCCAAACACATTTAAGGTTGGAAGGACGCGAAAAGATAGCGGAATACCGTGGAATCCTGGAATCGGCTCAAATATTCCGCCATCTTTGATCGAGTCGGTCAGTCCAGGTCGCACTAAAGTAACATCGACCAGAAGGAGGTCACGGCTTTGGGTGTTGCGTTACGAAAACTTTCGGGCGGCACGAATTTATCGGAAGTTGAAACATTGGAAATCAACTGTGAAGTGAATGAACTGTCTCGATGTGATGACGAAAACTGCTGCGTTGTCGAAAAATGGCGGTAAATTTCGATTTTACGATTTCTGCGAATTATGGCTACGTCTATGATTTTGAGAACGTTTAAAGAGTTATTCGAAGCCACAAATTACAAACGATAGCGTAGTGTACTTTGTTCAAAGCTCCAAAGGAGTTCGGGTGGAAAGGTTGGCTGCAGTCCTAATATTTGGATGTAGTGAAAATAAAGCAGTTCAGAGTCAGTGAAAGGAGATTAAATTGTAATTAAATTCTTCTAATGGGAAGTCAGACTAGCAAAGAAAGGAAAGTTTGTTTTTTCATAAAATGAATGACCAAATCAACATTCGCAAAATAACATCTACCCAACGGTCGCTGTTTCATTTAACATCCACCTAAAGGTATTTAGGTTAAAGGTCAGACAAACAGAAGAACAAGGCTTAACCACAACTATTAAACGCGAACTTTTTAAAAAGGTAAAAAAAAAAAAAGGAAATTTATATTTTTGTTTGTAACATAATATATGCAATATATTTGGATGCATTCATTCATTTGTCACATTACTATTAATTTTATGGCTAAATTTTTTCCTCTCAGACTTCAGGTTACCCAAAGGTTTATTGCTTCGACACATTTTTCTATGAAAAACTATCCAAACATGAAACAAAGTGGATAGCTAGGTGGACCAAAAAGGTACACGTCCTTATTAATTTATAACATTCGTAAATTTAGAACAAACTTTAAAATTCAATGTCCATAATTTTTTAATTATCATAACTTTGTAATTTGACCACATATTTATCCCTAGATCGATATATTTGACAACGCTATTGTTTTAATCCCAGTGCATCTCCCTGGAAATTGGGCACTTGGGGTATTCTACCAAAGATGTCTATTCACTGATAAATTTTTTGTGAAATACTTTATATTTAAACGTTTCTTATATTGCATCATTTCACTTTTCAAATACATTTGACATTGGACATAAGAAAGAAAAACAATATAAAAGTTCAATTAATTTCTTTTTTCAGGTCGTGGATGTCATTCGAAAAGTGATATCATGTTGGGATTCTTTAAAACAGTGTGCTCCTCCCACCAAGTTCTTTGAGAACATTAGGTAATTTTAGAAGAGCAATTGCTGCTAATTGTTCCGTGATGGGTTTTACACCAGAAAAGCAATTTCAGCTAATTGCAGTTGGAAATAAACTTGAGATAAACCCAAACAATTTCCAATCTTCAGTGTGTAATATGCAGTCAAGGATAGTTTGTCATTGCAGAAATACTAAAAAATTTCAAGTACAGAATATCACCCTTTCTCTCCCAAGATTGGAAAGTTAATTCTCTGAACCAAACCATACATTTTCTGTGTTGACTAGTCCTGGGAAATTTGGAGTCATACCAAGCCCATCTGATTGATAATTTTCTTCAATCTCGTTACCTGTCTGCTTTGAAAGTTTATGAATAATTTACTTACCGATCACTCCTGGGAGTCAAAAATCTAAAGATTTGCCTCCAAATTATATGATGCAATTCATCTGTTAACATTGAAGAAATGTAAAATGGTTTCCGTGTTTACATAGCCTGATGTAAACAGGCAGGAGGTTGGGAGAACACGAGATAAGCGTAGGAAACCTCTTATGCTATGGCTTGACAAAAAAACGACTAACTGCAGCCAACGTTTAGCCCAGGTCGGCAAAGGTTTCTTAAAACTAAAAAATAACAAAAACCGATTGCGGTATCCTCCCTTCTTTACGTAGAAGTTAATTCCCAGCGTGTCCTCCGTTCGGTAGATGTTACAATAATACTTGCATGGATACAACGCCAAATACAACAAATATGCGATAAATTTTTCCGAAATCGCACGATTATTGAAATTTAAACTTGGAAATGAGTAAGTCGGACCTCATCGGATTACAAAAAGTACGTGAATATAACCCAGACTGTATAAGAATGAAATTGTTTCGCCAAATATATTTTTAAACTTCCGGCAAAATCGGGCGTTACACTTGACGTCTTCGTAAAATAAATATGAAGATGTGACCTCCTGATGGTCGATGTTACTTTGACGCGACCTGTCACTCACGCCAGGAGCATGTGCACTGGGATTTCAAACCGAATTACTCTTACCATTACTTAATCAACAAGAAGTAGGGCGTATTGTTGAAATAACCGACAATTACAAGTTGTTTTGGTCTCGTGCTGTTGAGATTGATGCGTTTCTTGCGAGTTGATAAAGTTAAGGGCATTACCTCTTGTCGGAGACAATTTCCTTAAGGTTATGTTTTCCGTTCGCGTGCTTGATAGGCAAGTTTACAGCACCCAAACATAACAGCTTGCAAGGAAAGAATGCCTTATTCATTGCAATCCTTAAAAAAAAAAAAAAAAACGGTAATCTAATCCTTAAAAAAAAATAACACATTCAAAAGGTAATGTTATTTTGAGTTCCTTTTTAACTAGTTTTGCTCTGTCCTTCTCTTAACTTGCTCTCTACTTTGCTCTTTACTACTGATTATCGCGTTGATCTCAGTCCGTAAATGACATAAATTGCGTTGTGGAATTTAAAGAAATTCAGTGAATGGAAAGTGCAATAGTTCCCGCGGGTTCAGAGAAATTGCCTCATTCAACGTCGGTTTGTTGTGACTAAAAAAGTCTTTCGGAGTATACATGCAGTGACTAAATCTTGAAATGCTAAACGCCAAAAAATCGGAAATAGTTAATTTTTGTGTCTTACCTCGTAGGTGTGATTTTACGATTTTGCGAGCTATTCCAAAGCCGTTTTAGTCGATCCTTCTTTGTGGAAAATATCACACCAAGGTAAATTCATCTGACTAGAATTTGCAGCAACTGTTGATAATTTTCACTTTTCTGTTCCTTTCTCAGAAGTTTTCCTCAGCGGCAGTGTGTGCGTACAATTAAGTACTTTTCCTTCTTTTGCTCTCTGACCTTCTTTTAGGAAATTCACGGGAAACGATGTGAAATAAGGAAACACAATGTTTTCCGTCTTTATTATGTGCAATGGGAACCTGTTCAGAAAAGTACCCAAGCTGAGATAAGATCCGCCCACAAACGAATTCACTGATGTGAATTTCACTCTATTCTTGAACAGTTCACTGACGATACACTCAATCTTGGTCAGGTTTAAAAAGAAAATATCGTTTTTTGAAGAGTCGGTTCTAGGGTCAAAAAAAAAGAACAAATGTTGCAGATACAATCGAATACAAAAGCCAAAGGTACTAAATATAGAAGCAAAACATACAAACCTCATCGGCGTTTTTCGTATACAAGAAACGGCACAGCTTGAACTTGGACTCTAACTGAACTAAAACTAAACGTGCAAGGTACAAAATCTGCATAATGAAGGATGTTTGAATGTGTAAGAGTCCCTTGTGACCTAACGCTTGGTAGTTCGTGCATATAACGATAAAAATACCACCAAGTAAAGAGATGCTAATGTACATACCGCAGTAACAACCAAGCTGAGATAAGATTGTGTTTATCGATTACTTTGCTCAAACAGTAGTTATTCCAGTTGAGGTTGGGAAATGTGCGTGCAATGCGTGCACAGGCATCCTTCACAAATCATACCACTGTATCGAGATTTTTTTAGTCACATCAAAGCTGTTTAGACTTTGTAAGTTCTAAGTGCGACATTTTTTCATGTTGGATTTCTCACGTGTTCAAAGTTTCTTATTTAAGTCTTTTCACCCAGTAACTAGCCAACGTTTATACTTATTGTTTCATTAGCACATTTTTCTTTCCGTCATTTTTGATTGCCGCCCTCTTGGTACCTCGCATAATTTATCGATATATCTGGCATGGCTTAGATGATCCCACATGTGTGAGATCACTTGGGGTGTATACATGGCCTTACCTCCATTCTATCATCAGCATTGCACTGATGAGGCCCAGAAGGCCGAAACAGTACTGTCTGCAGTTAGTTATATATATATATATATTTGTATATTTATATCCACAGCATGCCTGTCTTCTTCCATTGAGCGCAGTTCAATAACTTAACGCTGTTTTTGCTTGTCTTTTCCCTTTTTTTGGCCATGGCATTTTGCGGGGTAAAATTTCCGCACAACCCCATTCTATTGTAAAACAAATCTGTTTTCCCAATCGCAAGGTATTGTTTTTGTCCTTGTTTTCTCTATCCAAGAACTGAATGCATAATGTAGTATGGGGCCGTACGGAAATTTAACCTTTTGCGGTATTGATATTGGTCTCGCACTTAATGAAGTGGAGGTGGTTTATCTCACCTGAGTCACATGACACAGAGAATAGATAATTAGTGATGAAGTCGATTTTTTTTTCTGCCACAGAAGTGGTTTGTATACTAGCAGTGAAGAATTTTTCAAAACTCATATTGATACATGGTGATATGGATCATTCTTTGGTAGCTTTCTCGTAGTTAGCCATTGGAACTGTTATCTGATTTCCAGGAGAGACTGTGATGCTTATTTTAATAGATGTAATGCAATACGGTTAACAGAATGACTTGAATTAAAACAAAACCCAAACAATTTGTTCCTAGTGCCATTCATTGATCAAGTTGAGTCACATATTTCTTTTCTTCTACTTTGCTATGCTCTGATGATCTTCACCCTTAGCTTGTCGACTAAATGAACTCAACGACTAACTGATCTTAAAATGCTCCAGAACTAAAATAAAGAGGAGGGTCTCAATGGGGTGATCGCTTTCACGGCCAACGGTTAAAATTTTGTTCATTTTAATCCTGACGATCAATTTCATTGCGTTGCAGTATAAATTTGCCTTTTTACAGTCAATTTTTTTAACTCTTTATGGTTAAACTTTGTCATTATTTACGCCTATGAGCTCATTTTTTTGCCGTTTATGACTAAGGGTTACTTGACCCATTGAGACCCTTAAAGAGGAATTAGTTTGTTTGAAAACGCTTTTCAAAAGTGCATCTAAAACTGAGCAAATGACAAGCTCTTTTCAAAACCGGTTGGCATACACTTGCAAATGAACATAGCAGATTACCTAAACAAATGAAGTTAGCAAGAAGTAAAGAATATTCAATGCTTAATGATTAGAAAATGAGAAGAGACGAGTGATACGTAATAGGCAGAACGGAAGTTGATCGAAATTTTCAATATTCAGCTAACTTTGCAGGAAGTTGAGTCGTAAAAGCTGAATCGTAGTCGATGGCTTCTACAATGTTCAGTGAGAAAATATAATTTAGTGTCAAGGTAAAGAGTTGTAAATAGGAACTATAATGTGGCAGTAAATAATTATGCGTTAGCATTAAATTATACGTGTTCAGTAAAGAAGATCGAAATACAAATAACACATCAATTTGGGGTTTCCTTCAGTCAGTGGTTTTTTTATTATCTGCATGTTACTTTCTGCCTACCAATAGCTTTGCTGTTACTTTCCTGCTGTGAAAAAAGAAGCTCCCGGGCGAAATCTGAGTTATCTTATACACCACTAAAATTTATCTCTCGAGTACACGAAAATATCGCCAAATTGTAAGATAAAACTTACGCATGGTTTTTAAGCTTTACAGTTCGCAAGCTGACACGTTCTTCTTTTGCATCCTCTTATACTAATACACGAGGTTGCAAACTTGACTGCGTTACATATCACGCGTTACCAGCGAGAAGTGGTAAGTATATAGTTTCTTCATTATATTGGATTTCGCTTCAGGTACTAAAACAAAACAGTCATCATTCAGTTTGCCATTCAGCGTTAGCCATCATCAAGGCTGTTGCTGAGGGAAGGCGCCGACTGAGGATGGAATCCAAAGCAAATAAGAATTCGCACGTTCTTATGTTTTGCCTTTCATTCAACTTAATTCTGACATTAGGCTCACTTGGTTTTAGTTGCTATTCTCTGCATCGATTAGATTCGCGTCTGACAACACTTGAGCAAAATTCTCTGCTCAAAAACTCCCCGTACCATATTTCCAATCCTTTTTCTGGTGCGCCAGGATCTGCACATTTTCGTCCAAGTGGATCACTACAGAAAGAAACTGGTCGCGTCCAAAGAGCTGCTGAACGACCATCCATGTGCGGCAAATGTAGCAGTGTTTGCGTGAATTTGAATAGTCAACGGAGTGTAAGTTTTACTCTGTTATCCTTCCTTTTTTCACAAATCC